ATATCGCAGCAACTGTAATCTACTCCTCGTGTAGAGAATATCTACACAGCAGTAATATAAAATTTATGATTGCGATATAGAATTATAGAGGGGAGAAGACATAGAGCGCGGCACATACAGCGAATGAGAAAATTAGTTTATCATCAAAGGCAAGGCAGGAATAAACGGCAACAGCATCATCACATGTCGTCCCTTACACAATAATATTGTTTCATTTGCACAATTGTCTTATGATATTATTAATAAAAATTGTGAGTTAAGTGAAATTCATGGAGGCACATTTTATTTTATTATTTTTTTTTCGTTCCTTTTTCATCACCTTTACTTCCTTTATTTTTTATTTATTAAAATATGCTTTCACCATTTATTGTAATTTATGGTCGACATGAATTTTAAAAAATTGCAAAGAACATTTTTGAGGATTTTGAAGGAAGGTATGGAAGTAATACAATCGCTAATGGTGTGTAATATTGGTTTGACATAATATCTTAACAGTTTGTCCATTATTGCTCTATAAAAAGGCGTCAATAGATCGAGAAAGGGAATCTAAAATATATTTTGTACAATGTGACGTTAAATGCGCTCTATCCACTTCATTTGCAAAACAGTTTAAGAACCTTCATTTTTGATATTAGATTCATCTAGTCTATATGTGCACCTCCTCTAAATTCTCATATTTATTGATTAAATTCTACTGCTTTACCTTTTTCATATTTTAATATTTATTTACCGCTCTCTTCCGTCTTTGTCCTGAAATCTACATCCACAGTAAAGCCATGAAACGTACGAGTATGATACAAAATATTTTTTGTTATCGTGACAATAAATCATAACTGAACTGAAAATAATATAGAGCAAAATGAATGGAAAGAACACCTTAATTTCGAATTTCCGATGTAAAGGAACATTCAGTCCATGCACTGTCTTTAAGACACAAAACAAAAATCGATTCAGCACATTCGTATGTGTATTAGAATGAATCGTTCATTATTATTATTATCATCATCACTGAGGAGTGGCTTGTGATTTATGCTTATCGAATTCCTATTTACTGTACATGTGCCTTACCAATAAAGCCGGAGACTCAAATCAATTTTAATTAGTTGTCGATTTGAATAATATTCATAGATTTATGTGATAACGGCTGGGGCTGAAAAATTCATATCCAAGTAATAAATTTAAACATGCGATAAAAATCAATATAATTATGGTAATGACATGAAAGATGTGTGTGATGAAGGTTTGTCATCAATTAACTAATTTGCGTGTGCTTCAGGTAGAATTTTAATGGATATTGTATTAAAAGTTTTGTTGATATTATCAAACTTTCAGTAAAGTTGTTCATTTTGCAGATTTTATGATTTTACAGTTTCGTTGATTTTTTGCTGATCAATTGAATTATTTTATGGTAATGGATGCAAGTTATTTAAATCAGATGACATTATATGCAAGCAGTTTCTTATGATCCAATTTTTAAACGATAAGATGGAAGGAAAGGGATCTGAAAATCCACTATTTTGTAGACATCAAATTAAGTTTAGATAGATTAGAACAAGTTTGGATAAATGGAACTCTATATAAAAATATTTGACTTGATCGATTATCGATTCTTCGAATAATATTCAACCACTATAATTTACATCTCCAAATCTCAATCATATACACAGCACAGCAGCCATCACAACAACAAAAAAAGTTAAAATTATTCACATCCAACAAGAGGAAATGACAACAAATAACTTTCGATGTCTCATCGGCGCCTTATAGCCTGACAATTCTCTACGCTCCAACTAATCTCTTTCTCCTTTCTCAAGTCTATGTATACACATTGTATGTGGTTGTTCTTTAGCAGTAAATGGGATAAGAATGAAATATTTCTTTTGATTAACGACAAATTTCATGGCACATTGTAATAAATATATCGACCATACAGCTATAGAATGGGAAGAAAAAGAAGAAGAGATTTTTGTGGTTGTTTCCCAAGGATTACGCACAACTTATAAAAATAAATAATAATAATATATGAAGGTAAATTAAGGAGGTAGTCATCATAAAGAGATGTAAACGAAGACTCATTTTAATTAATTAACGGAAAGAGGAATGGAATGGAGAGGTACCGAAAAAAAAATCTAAGAGAGACATATAATCATTTGGGTAAGTACCTTAAAGTGAAGTGACTATAAATTAAATTCATCAATATCGATCATGCTTACGTCGTCGTCATGTGAAAAATATTTTTTGTCCATAAGTAATTCCCATTTATTAATTTATTTTTTTTGTAACCATTTAAATTAGATCCACAGACAGTTTATATATTGTGCCTCTATATAATATGAGAAATAAATCATCGCATGACTCTCTCACGACATCTCTCACGATGGACATGAAATTATTATTACTAAAAAGAATCTTTTAATCGCATTTAGAGATGTTAAGACATGACAATGCCCTCATATTCTTCTCTCTTTGATGATCATTCGTCATTTAACTTTCTGCCATCGTGGGGCTTTAATGAAGTCTTGTCAAAGAAAGGTAGTGTTGCTGGCTAGAAGGAGATAATTTTTGGTTGTGGTTTGTCTAAGAGTCACTGCAATAGATTCACGACTTCCCTAGGACATAATGTCGTTTTAATAGCAGTGCCGAAATGTCACGTTTTTGATAAAAAAATAAATAAATTTTTAATGAATCACACATGTTTCACATGCGCGACTAACAAATGCAAAGCAGCCTACTCACAACTTAAAATCTGATTCAATCGAAAGTCATTTTGTATGACTAATGACAACATTGTGTCCATTGAATCTCTTTTTGATTAAATTGTTGTAATTACATTTTGATGGCGATCAAGAAGAAGAATAAGTAAGAAGAAGGGAGTGATTGAAGTCCCCAATAATGATGTACTTCTTTCAATAACTCAAAGAAAATGAGTCTTTTACGATAGACAACAATTGATAAATTCTTGATGAGTAAAGAATAGATGTAGAAAGAGAGAAAAATAATCAATCGAGGCAATAGATGAGACATCAGGCAAAAATCAATCAAAATAAAAAGCCATTTGTCATTATTTGAGTTGCTTTGTTGTTTGCTGCTTTTTTGGAATTCTTATGAATAAATTTTTGAATATTTTCGTCATTATTGTCAAGCTTGTGAGAAGCCTAATGAGAAAGTTCGATGACAGCAGTTTAAAATTCTTTTGAAGAACTTTAGAATTTTAGTTTCGGAATTTTGGATAAAATTTTGATGACTTTGTTTGATTTCTATTAAGTAAGGTATAATAGCTTAAAATCCAATAAAATGAGTAAAATTAAAAAGTTTTTCAATTGTCATGAATTTTTATTTTAAAATTTTGGTTCATTTCAAGGCGTTGACACTGAGATTAATCCCAATAATCCTGAATAATCCCAGCATATTTTTGAGTGCCCACGCCTTGTTTCATTTATAGCTTCTCCGATAATTGTTTCTATTTATGAGCATTCAAAACTAAGAGCGGCATATGATTTCAACAAGAATCCCTGAAAAATCATTTATTAAAGTCATAAAACTCATTAAAAGGATTTTATATCATATCTAGATTTTTCGGAGATTGTTTTTTATTCGTGAAGGATAAAAATCCCTCAAAAAGGTGAGATAAATTTTTATAAAAATGATACGAGAACAAAAAACAAAAAAAATGTTGATGATTATGGATCAACATGATATGGATAGATGGTGAGTGGTCGATTTTTTTCATCATCATCATCTGACATGGGTACCATGGAATAGATGCTGTGGAAAGGATGATGTTGTAAAAGGACATGAGAATGATGTTAATAAAAATGATAAATTTCATACTAAATCGACTCTTCAGCCTCACTTAAGAGTTTCAGTTTCTCTTATCCATTTTTATATGAAAATAATAAAAGTCGAATCAGCATGACAGCTGGGCCATTTTTCACAATCAAGTTTTGATGTCTGTGCGACTATGACGAACAGCACTGTTGTGAGATCTCATATGTCAATAGTTGGGTTATGTAGGTAGACTGCTCTAAATATTTAATAATAAATAATGTACATGCGGATCGGCTGTAATCCAATTCAATTTCAATAAATGTTTTTATTTATTTACTTTTATGTTGCTTACAATTTTTGGTTAAAGCAGCGAGAAAAAAGAATTTTTACCGTGATTTATTGAGACGCATTTTTGTAAGAAAAAAGATTCCGAATATATCACATTAAGTAGTAAATTATAAGGAATAGCAACGCACTTATTATTGGAACTTATATCTGAATGGTAGTGCTTCCTTCCTTGTTTATTTTATAGCCAAAATTTTATAACTTGAGATAAAATCAAGGTCTAGTAAAAGCATTACTATACAAATTTGTCAAACTGGATGCTTCTTCGTAGATGCTGTTCCACCCAGTTCAACCATCGAAATCATTCAGGATAATCGAGCTATCGTCCTCAAAAAGACGTGATTTTTGATTATCCAGTCGGATATAATTGTCACTCGAAAACTGAAATTTTTGCCTCATTTTAGCTATTCATCAGAGCCCCATGCTTTCTTTAAATATGCTCTCAGGTCTATAGACAGTCAGTCATATCCTCAATCTCCTCTTCGTAATGCACAAACAACATCAATAAGTCAAACTATTAAGAAGATAGAAAAAATAACATAAATAATCATTTAATCAAATTAAATAAGAAAACTTCAGGCAAGCAAAGTGAGATCGATGGTGTAATGAGAACTGAAATAAAGAAAAAGATACAGAAAGATTGGTCAGGGACATAAACATCACAACATAATATAATCAAGAAATTGTGTGCATTGAAAAAAATGACGAATGGCTTTCTTCTTATGGGTGCTTTATGTTGCTGCCTATATGTGCACTCTCGTGGGATTATGATACGCAATTAAGGCATTGAATTTCTTCGAAAAAATATTTTACATTCCATAAATTTTCATAGACGTGTGCTATGCATTGTGACATAAGCAATTTGTCATTTAATTTGAATCTTAGTGAACATTTCAAATTTAATGCATTTTCTGAAAGTTTTTCAATCGTAAAAAGTTTGTGACAAGATGCTCCGAAATTTACCAAAGTTTTCATTCAGCAACTTCCAACAGGTTCGTTTCTTGAACCTTCAGGAACATTTCTCACAAGCCATCCTCAATGAGCATAACATTACAACTCCAAAATTTAAAGTAGCAAAAAGTGCAAAGGAAGCAGAACAAGCAGCAAAGGATTTATTAACAAAGAATATGGTAGTAAAGGCTCAAGTACTGACTGGAGGACGTGGATTAGGAGCATTTGAGAATGGATTTCAAGGAGGTGTTCATACTGCTATAAGGTAAGAATTTAAGCCTTATATTCTAAGGTTTCCAAGATTCATTTCCATAATTTTTACGTCCAGTCCATGTGAAGTCAAGGAATTAGCTAGCAAAATGATTGGCAATCGTTTAATAACCAAACAAACCAAGCAGGGGGGAATCATCTGCAATTCAGTGATGATAACCGAACGAAAGTTTCCACGACGTGAATTTTACTTTGCATTTGCACTTAACCGTGAGCACAATGGACCAGTTCTGATTGCATCATCAAAAGGTGGAGTTAATATTGAAGATGTAGCTGCAAGATCACCAGAAGATGTAATTTATGAGCCAATTGACATATCAAAAGGGTTTACTAAAGAAATTGCAGAATGGATATTAAGAAGAGTTGGAATAACTGATCAACCTGGACCTGCTTGTAAAATGTTATGCAATTTATACAATTTGTTTGTAAAGAAAGATGCATTACTGGCTGAGATTAATCCGTATGTAGAAGATGTCTGCATGAATTATTATCCCCTTGATGTCAAAATTACATTCGATGATAATGCAAAATTTCGTCAGCGTGAAATATTTGAAAAATTCGACGAGACTCAAGGAGATCCAAAAGAAATTGCAGCAAGTAAATTAGACATGTCATATATATCACTTGATGGCTCAATTGGATGCTTAGTAAACGGCGCAGGACTTGCAATGGCAACAGCAGATATACTCGATTATCATGGTGGAACTCCAGCAAATTTTCTTGATGTTGGCAGTATGGCAAGTTCTGAACATGTTCGACAAGCCATGAATATTATCATGATGGATGAAAAAGTTCGAACAGTTTTTGTAAATATTTTTGGTGGTATGATGAATTGTGTTGCTGTAGCCGAAGGTCTTTTGAAGGCAGTTCGTGAATCTGACATCAAAATTCCAATTGTATTGCGCATACTAGGAAATAATCAAGAAATTGCAAGGAAGATGATCAAAGATGCAAATACAAATATTATGGCATATCAAGAATTTGATGAAGCTACGGAAATGGCTGTGAGATGCTCTAAAATCATGGAACTTGCTGATGCAGGGAATTTAAATGCTGATTTAACGATGAAATTAATTTGTGATTGTGAACCAGCTCCTGCCGAGGGTGAAGTTAAGTGCTAAAAAGTGAGCATCAATAACGAGAAGGAACGAGGGAGGCTGTTTCCCCTATGCCAAATATATTTTTCGGTCACGATCCAATTACTTGTCAATGAATATTAAATTTTTTCATTTTTTAAAATTTATTGATATAAATGACATGAAAATTTAAATCCTATCAGCATCACTCAATTTTTTTAAAGCCATGTTCACTGCATAATGATATCTGAAATTGAATAAATTTTAATAAATTTATGTTGATAACATTTAGGGATGATAGGCAATTTTTATCAAAGAAATTGTTGATTAATATGTTCATCTGGAGCTAGGACAATAGAAATGAATTTTTAGAAATAGAATGCAAACGTTTACATCAGGATATACTCTTTTATTTTCATACAACAATTTTTACATAGGTAAAGGCATTCATATATTATTTGATCCATTCTAGAGGCGTCACAAGTGTAAAATTCATTGCGTAATGTTATAAAAGTCAAAGTTTGATTCATAAATAAGAATTCTTAATCCAAGATTTTTTAAAAAATAATCCCAGGGGTCAATAATAAGTTTAAAATTGTAAAATGCATTAATTCTTACATTTTAAGTAGAACACAGTAATAAGATACGTCTTTAAAGCTCTATTGTCTTTGTCATTTAAATCTGTATAACTTATCAGCAAAGCCCCTTACCCCTTTAAACAAGATGTTTCTTTAAGCCAACATTGCATCGACACAAGAGATGGACAGAATGAAAGAGAAACAACAGAGAATAAAATTCAATAAATTTCAATATCGATGGCAACGTTTGTGATAACAGAAATAATAAAGCACAGTCGCTTATGCCAGCATGCAATCGTATTATTTCCATTATAATTCACGTTGTTCTTTTCCAAGGGTCAGACACTCCAATAGTATTGTAATGTATTGTACAATACTTTACAATACATATGAAAGTATTGTAAGTATTGTAGGTATTGTACAATACTTACAATACGTACAATACTTGTATGACAAGTATTGTAGGATTGTACAATTCTTACAATTCTTACAATACTTGTATGGAAAGTATTGTAAGTATTGTAGTTTTTACAAGACAGTTTGAGAAACATTTGTCATATGAATTTGATTATAATTGACGGTTTTTATGTAGTTTCTCGTGTTTTTTTACATTTTTTGAACCAAAATTTGATGAAAATACATAATTAGCAATTTTGAACTAAATATTTTTAAGTTTTAATTGAAAAATAACATTAAAATTTTTGGTAATAAAATCATTTTTCAAAATAGTCAATAGCAAAAAAGTATTCTGGCTCGAAACAAAGGCGATATAACGCCAGATTAACAAAAACATAGATAAGATGAGAATATTAGACATTAGTCTCCTCATATTAGAGGAACTTTAACGTTTGCTTCAATTTTATAGGATAACACCGAGGTTTAGATTTTTTTATAGCGCTTTAAGTCATATCATAACATTGCTATGCCTCGATTAAAGTTTGTTTCTTTAAAGTTTACTTTGCTTTTAGTAAGGACATTTTACATCAGAAATTTTCAACGAATTTTCCTGAAATGATATACATTTTTGTATTAACTAGGCATTCACGATTTCCCGGACCCAAAAAATTGTCGGGAACTGGACAAAAATTTAAACGAAAATATCAAACATGCTCCTGAAAATTTGGAAGATTTTTTTGTGTTTAAATGATGAAACTTTTCAATTGAGATAATTTGACATTAAAATTTTTTGGATAACTATTTTTATTCATCGAGTTTCTGTCCCAAAAATTTCGGGAACAGGAAATCGTGAAAGTCTAGTATCAACTATAAGAAATAAAAAAATAAGAATAATTTTGGCAAAGAAAGAAGAAAATATACAGTTTTATATTGTCTTAGAGATGCAGTTGTTGACAATATGTATTTTCAAAAAAAAAGAAAAAGCTATAAAAACCATTTGATAAGTTTGTTAAATTAGATTCCTTCTTAATCGCCTTCTTGCAAGAGGTAAAAAAATTCAAATCGTCAAAGTAATGTTTGAATACACTTAAAACCTTATACTTTGATCAAAAAATTTGTATAAAACGTAATGTAGTTTGCTATAAAGAGTGATAAATATTGTGAAAATAAAACCAATCTATAAAATTTTGATACCTTATTGACATTTAATAATAGTTTACATAATAAACTTCGTACCTGTACGGTTTTATGCATGAGAATTGTATGAAATCAATTCTTGATTTGCATCAGTCTAGCTTTACAAAAGAATTTTGAACTTTTTATCATTTTTATAGCCATTACATAATCAGAAATTCTCTCTTTTATTGGAAAACTGAAATTTGTGCTAGTTTTTCATAAAATACTCCTGCTAATTTTCAATAATAATGTTAATTTATCAAAAAAAATTGTTATTTATCAATATTTGTCAAAAAAAGTACTAAATTTGGTTTTACAAATTGTTAAAAACAAAAAAATATGTAATTTCTTTTAAAATTTGGTTCTTAAATAATTAAATTTCAGTATTGTAAGTATTGTAAAGTATTGTAAATTTATATGAAAAGTATTGTAAGTATTGTAGGTATTGTACAATACCGTACAGAAACTTTGGAGAGTCTGACCCTTGTTCTTTTCCATTTCATAATAGAAATATATTCTGCCGTGTTGCATCACATAAGATCGTCTCATGTCTCTTTTTTTGCGGTCTTAATATCATGCTCCGCTTCACAGTAATGCAATAATTCACACATATTCGCGCACATTTTTATAATTTTTGATTTTTTTTTCTCATTCAATTCCATTCCATTCATGTACCCGTAAGGCAAATAATTATCATAATTTAAGGCACAAAAAAAGTTTTACGTTTCAAATTTGATTGCATTTTTAAGTTTCACGCGTGTGTGACCTTAGAAGTGACATCTTTCCACACATCCAAACACAATACGAGAAAAAAGGTCTGTTTACCTGATTTATGGATCAGTAGACATTCAATGATCCCATAAATCGACTGCTCGCTTTCTTTTGTGTTGTCACACAATTGCCTTTTGTCAACCTCCATCCACACACACAAAAGAAAAGTCTACAGATTTAACTTTTTCCCATAAAATTGTGTAACGAAATAATAAAAAATTGGCATTCTCAACGACATGCTGGAGAAAAGGGGGATATAAAATGATATTCTTTTAATATCTATTGTTGCTGTGCTTCAATGCATCATCTTATTTTTTTATTGGACTGAGATTTGTTGGGATAGTTTAGGTTCTGAACATTTTGACCAGGCGTTTATTTTCTTGAAAAATCATAGATGAAGCTTAAATGCTAGAATTAGAAATGATGTAATAGGAATTGTTCAGATCCTGCTTTAAATTGAAGGTCAAAGCTTGACAAACCCTTAACTCATTAAACTACTACAAGGTGCTACAAGGCATGAAAAAACGTAGCTCTGAATTAAAGCATCACCAAAACTTATTACTTTTAAGCGCCTACAATCTTTATAAAAATCCAAAAAATAACATTTCATACTTAATCAATATCCAATCCTCCCAAATGTGTCATTTTTAATTTCTATACAAAACCCAAAATGAGAAATAAATGTGAAGAGAATTAAGGGGCACCTGACGTTAAACATTTGTATCCTATTGTGACTCTTCTTAGTACTTTTTTGAAATGTCATCTTCAGTCTCTATTTTATTTTGCTCTAGGTTCTCAAGATAATTTTCTTCTTCTTTTTTTCACGGTCATTTGAGTTTTTAAGCTTTAAATGAAAGCAAACCAACGTAACGACATTAAAAAAAGTATTTTTTTGCGATTAACCAAAATGAATAGAACAGTAGAGAAGTCAACCATCTATCTATTCAATTTTACAGGTATACATTTTATGTATAACATACAGCAAACAGCACAGAATATAGAGACAGAGATAGAAAGAAAAATGTAATTAATTTTATAAGATGTAAGAGGTCATTAATTTTGTGAACAGTGTCTTTTTCATTTCTATTCTTTTCGATGTCATAAGCGCCGTTGGGCGGCTTGAATTTCATTTCATTTCTTTTCATGTTCGTCTTTTATTTCTGATGTAAAACAACTGAGTGACTGGTTACTTGTATTCTTTTTTGTTTGAGAATGATGATAAAAAATTTGAATTGGAATATAAAAGAGTCGCTTTTTTGGGAAAATCCCAGTTGGAATAAGTTGAGCAACTTACTAAGCATCCAAATCTATTTTTAAGACTTCTAGATTTAATTATTAAAATAAATATCGATGCACTTAGTGTAGAAATCATGTCGAATTGTCATTTTGTATGAAATAGTCATTTATAAGCAGGGTTGCGATACAGGCACGTGTGAACAATTGAGAACCGTAAAATTCTTTGATAATTTATTAGGTGTTGTTGTAATTTTTTATGGTGTTGTAAGAAAAACCTTATAAATTATCGAGGAATTGTACGGTTCTAACATGTGCAAAGGTGCCTGTATCGCAACCCTGTTTATAAGAAATTAAAGCTAAAATTTGTAAGTCTTTCAAATCGGAAGCACAACATCTTAAACATTTTCTCAAAGAAAAGATACAAAATGTTTTTCTAACTGGGGTGCATGATACAATTTGACAACATAACATCATGTTCACAAATACATTTAGCGTTATTGTAAATGACTTTACATTTTTATTTGATATCAAATCATCGGCATAGTTGTGAGAATATAAAAGGCTTAGATGTGTTTTTTTCTCCCAGCTCTCTTTTTGTCTTCAAGAGTCTTTTAATATTGACAGTTTTGTTTTATATGTCCATTATCTCATCGCAAGAATGATAGGCAAGTCTGTCGAGTGTCCACTTTAAAGAACTTTCTTTACGGTTTCTTTTCATTTTTATTTTAAGATTTCATCTCCCTTTTCAGTAAAGAAATGTTCTTTTAATCGATTACATAAGACAAAGAAGTAGAAGAAAGGGAACGACATGGATAGGTATAAGCTGGATGTCAAATTGAAGAAGGGATCGACAACACGATTTTGAATTATCGACCATCGTCAACTTGTGTGAGAGGTTCTCTTTCTTTTGTTTCTTTCATTTTATTCGGAGAACATTAGAACTGTCGATGAAAGATTTATTGACTCACC